GCCGCGCGTGCTCCATGGACCCGCGCGTGCCAGAGCCACAGGGCACTCTGAGGCTGGAGGTCCCGGAGATCGAGCTCGAGATCGACGCCGCGCAGGAGCCGGCGCACGTGGCGGTGGAGCCGCGCCGCGCCGCTCCCGCCCCCGCCGCCCTCGCTCTCAGCTACGACGTTAGCGGAGGCGCCGAGGCGAAGCCGACCGTCACGGCCGCGCTCGGCCCCCTCGAGGCGGTGCTGCTTCCGCACACCGTGGCTGCCCTCGCGCACTTCGCGGCCGCCACTCGCGACGTTGCCCGCCGCCTCTTCGAGCGCCCGCTCCCGCCGCTGCCGCGGCCAGCCGGCCTGCTAGAGACCCACTTGCGGCTGGAGTCACTCAGCGTGTGGCTTCTCCCGGCGCAGCCGCCGCCCATCCCTGCCGATTGCGCCCCTGCCGCCGCCGCCCCTCCTATCCGCGTGCGGGCTCTCGTGGGCAGCGTCGGCGCGAGCAGCTTGGACGGGTCGGAGGGCGTGATGGCCGCCTCCGTCTCGCTCGCGCAGGCGCGGCTGCGCGAGGCCTGGTCGTCGCTCCGGCCTTCTCGGAACCCTCTCGGAACCTGCCCGAAACCTTCCCCCGTAGGCGCGGCTGCGCGAGGCGTCCGTCGGCTGTCGCCTCGAGCCGGCTGACGCGGCGGAGGGGCTAGCGCTGCTCGAGGGCTGCTCGCTCACCGCGACCTTCGACTCCAACAACCCGGAGCAGGCCGCGCTGAGCGTCGTCGTGCCCGGCCCCGTCCGGCTGCAGATCGACGCGTGCCACGCGCGGCTGCTGCGCGACGCGCTCGCCGGGCTCAGTGCGAGTCTCCGGGCCGCGTGGGCGCCGATCCCCCCCGCTCGCGGCGCAGCGGCGCCTCTCCCGGACGGCGCACCATGGCCGGCACCGGCCGATGCGTTGGGGCAACAGCATGGCTGGGCGCCGCTCTCGCCGCTGGCCGAGCGCGTGCGCGCCGATTCGCTGTCGCGGCGCGACCGGGTCCTCGAGGCGACGGCGATGCCCTCCACGCCCAAGGGGGGCGAGTCGTCGCAGGCGGGCGTGCCGGGTCCTCGGGCGTGCCGGCTGCGGCTCTCGGTGGGCGAGGTGGCGGTCGTTCTCGTCACGTCGCTGCTCAACGCGCCGACGCCGGTGATGCAGCTCCTCCTGCCGCAGATCGAGCTCGAGGCGGCGCTTGACGGCGGCGGAGAGGCGAGCGAGGCGAGCGACCGCTCCGCCTCGAGCGCGGCCGTGGGGCCGCAGTCGCTCTCGTCGACGTCGTCGCTGCAGCTCGACGTCTTTAGCCGCTCGACGGCGCAGTGGGAGCCCATCGTCGAGCTGACCCCGATCGCCGTGGAGGTGCAGCGGGACGGCCCGACGAGCGCGACCCTCCACCTCCCCGCGCCGCTCGAGGTGGTCCTCTCCAACTCGGCCATCAACACGCTCGCGAGCTTCGCCGGCCGGATGCGCGACGCGATGGCTTCGCCGCTCGAGATAGTCCTCTCGCGCCGCTCCGCCAAGCCGTACCGCGTGGCCAACGAGACGGGCGTGGCGTTGTGGTACGGAGAATCCCTTTTGTCGGCGATGAGCCTGATCCGGCCCGCGAAGGAAGCGTCGATGGACCTGTGGGGCCACGGCGAGCTCAAGGACGCCGGCGTGCGCACCGTCGCGCTCCAGCTCTGCGGCATGGAAACCTCGCGCCGCGTCGCCGTCGATTACGCCGGCTCGCGCATCGTCCCGCTCCGCCCGATCCAGGGAGGGCACGCCCAGCCGGCCGCGCACGCGCTGCGCTGCTCGGTCGAGGTGCTCGACGATGGCGTGACGACGCTCCTGCGGGTCGAGTCGCTCGTGCAGGTCCTCAACCGGACGGGCGTGCCCCTGCAGCTGCGCGTGATCCGCACCAGCAGGGCGGGCGCGAGCGGCTCGCACTTGGCCGAGGAGGTCGGCGCCCTGCAGGCCGACGCCTCGCTGCCCATTCCGATGGACTTGCTTCAGGGCGGGCTGATCTTCCGCCCTCGGCCGGGCCTGTCGGGCGCGGCGGCCGGTGCGGACGCGGACGCGGCTTTGCCCCGTCGGCTCTCGTCCGCCTCCGTCCTCGGCGAGAGCGCGACGGTGGTGGACGAGCCCTCTGACCCGTTCGCGTTCGCTTGGCCCGACGCGGGCTCGACGATCTGGCTCTCGAAAATCGTGGCCGTGCCGAGGGGCGCGGCCTTCTCCCGCCAGCAGCTGCGCTCCTCGGCGCGTGTGCGCCGCATCTTCGCGCTGCCCGACTCGGAGACGGTGCTCGAGGAGTACGCCTGCCGCGCGCGCTCGAGCGCGAGCTCTCGCCCGCACCGGCACGTCTCCTCCGTCCGCATCAGCGGGACGGTCTTCATCACGTCCGCCTCGGTCGGCTTCTACGCGCGCACCGCGCGTGCGCGCGTGCAGCAGCTCGCGCCCCTCGCGGCGGTGACCGCCCTCGACTGGTCACCGGAGGGCGACATCGTGCTCCGCTGGCTGCCGCCAGGCGGCGCTGGCCGCGGCTCGGAGGCGGGCGGCGTGCAGCGCCGATCCATGCGGGTCACCTTCCGCTCGCCCAAGCGGAAGTCGGGCGGCTGGGACCCGTCCCCGTCCTCCAGTCTGTCGACTCGGGTCTTCGACCGCGACGAGCTCGAGATGCGGCTCCGCCCCACGAAGCACCGGCAGCGCTTCTTTGACGCCCTCGAGAAGCACGTCGAGCGGCACGCGCCGCAGGCGGTGCGCTCGACCGCGACCCAGGCGCTCAAGGGCAAGTTTGGGCTCGGTTCGAGCGAGCGCGTGCTCGGCTCCTTCCGCTGCTGCTTCCACCCGCCCGGCGCGAAGCGCGAGGGCGGCGTGGGGCGGCAGCCCGGGCCGGCGGGCACGGGGGCGCTCAAGACGCTCCGGTCGGTGCTGCAGCGAGGCACTCTGTACCTCTTCACCTCGCACCTCTGCTTCCTGGGCAAGGGGTGGGACGGCAAGGAGACGCAGCGCGTCGTCGCGCTCGAGCAGCTCGTCTCCGTCAAGTGCAAGACGGGCTGGTGGGGCCTCGGTCGGCTCTCGTCGGCGCTCGTCCTCTCGACGCTCGACGAGCAGCTCCTCTTCTCGCGCTTCTGGCAGCCGCAGGTGACGCTCCACCGCATCATCGAGGCGTGGGAGCTCGCCCAGGAGCTCGCCGACGACACGTCCGGCGTCGCCGACGACGCGGCCGCCGACGAGGCGCCGAGCGAGGCCGCAGAGATGCACGAGGCGGACCTGCTCGCGATGCGGCTCCCTCCGGTGGTGGTGTGCCAGCGCGAGGCGGCGGCGCACGCGGGGGAGGCGCTCGACGCGACCGACGGGCTCGCCGAGTTCCGCTCGCCGGCCCTTGCCGCGCCCGCCTTCTCCCTCTTGCGCGGCGCCGACGCGGCGATGCCGCCGGCCGGCCCCTTCTACGCGTGCCTCCGTGTCACGCGGCAGCAGGCGCAGGTAGGGCGCGGAGGGGGAGGCCGCGACTCGAGCCTGCTGCAGTCGGTCGCGGTGTCGCTGCACACCCCGCTGGAGCTGCACTCGCTCTTGCCCTTCGCCGTGCACTGGCGGCTGCTCGCGACGCGCAAGGAGGCGGCGCCACCGCCGACCCGCCTCACTCGCTTCGGCTCGAAGGGGCCGCTCGCGCGGTTGGCGTCGCGATCCAGCTCGAAGGATCTGCTGCAGCGCACGACCTCCGTGCTCTCCGCCTCCTCCGCGGGCGCCTCGAGAGAGCCCAGCGCGAGGAGCTCAGGCGCGCACAGCGCGAAGAGCCGGAGGGCGGGGGGTCTCACCTTCGATACCGTCGCTTCGGGTAAGGTCGACGCGTTTGGCGTCGCCCTCTGCCACGAGGCGCCACCGGGCCAGGACTGGCAGCTCGTGCTCTCGACGGACGAGCACGAGGAATCGCCGCCCTTTATGATCCACCACGGCCGATCCGACGACGCGGCGGGCGCGCGGCTGCCGGACTCGGTCGAGCTGCAGCCGGCGGACGGGGCGAGTGCGCCCGGCCCGCTCACCCTCCTCGTCGACAACGCGCTCCACGTGGGAGGCTTCCGGACGCTGCGCCTGTACGCGCCCTTCTGGCTCGTCAACAGGACGGGCCTGCCTCTCCTCTTCCGCGAGGTTGTGCGCGGCGCCGCCGCCGGCCCCGCCCACGCGATTGGAGAGGCGGGCGCCGGCCGGGCCAGGAATCGAGACTGGGACGACGCCTCCACGACCGACACGCGCACCGCGGTGGACGACTCGTCGGAGATGTCGGCGTCAGAGATCTCTGTCGCCTCCTCGCTGCTCGCGCGCCCGGCGCCGCTCCTCGGGACGCTGCTCGAGAGCTCGCCCGCGGGGCCGTCCAGAGACGCCTCGCCCGCCTCGCTCTCCGCCTCTGAGCCACCCGGCGGCGCCGACTCCAACCCGGAGCTGTTCTACCTCTCCCCCGCCGAGGAGGAGCTCGCCGAGCCGACGCACCTGGCGCCGCGCGTGACGCCGCTCCTCTTCGCCTGCTCGCGCAGGGACGCCCTCACCAAGCTCCAGGTCAAGCTCGCCAAAGAGGGGCCGGGCGCCGACCCGGTCGCCTACCGGCCGCGCGCCGGCTGGTCCAAGCCCTTCTCGATCGCGGCGGTCGACACGACCGGGACGGTCCGACTCGGCTCGGGCCCGAGCGCCGTCGAGGTGTGCGTCTCGATCACGCGCGGCGCGGGCGCCGCCGCCGAGTACTCGAACGTGGTCACCCTCGCGCCCCATTTCGTCCTCGTCTCGGAGGTTGCCTTCCCGCTCCGCTTCCGGCAGGCGGGCTGCGCGGAGTGGGAGCAGGTGCTGCCGCCGGCCGCCAGGCTGCCCTTCAATTGGGCGCACCCCAAGGGCGAGCGGCTCATCGAGCTCGCGCTCGAGGGCAGCGCCGGCGCCGGCCACTCCCACTTTTGCGGCGGCTTCCCCGTCGACGAGGTGGAGGAGTTTCTGCTCGAGGTGGGGATGCCGGGCGAGGAGTTTGAGGTGGTGAGCGAGAACCAGCGCCGCCTCTCCTCCTTCTCGTCGTGGAGCGAGACCAGCCTCCTCCCGACGGACCGCCACGGCCCGTGGTCCGACGGGCTGCTCGAGCGGCGATACGCGGGCGGGCTGCCGTCGGTCGAGCCGCCCCCAGGCTGGGAGTGGGCGGACGAGAGCTGGTCGCTGTTCCTCGCGCCAAAGGAGCAGCCGCGCGCCGCGGCCCGCCAGGCTGGGGCCGCGCCCGCGGGCGCGGCCGACGGCTGGGAGTATGCGACCAACTGGCCGGCGCCGGCGGGCAGCCACCGCGCGAGCGACGCCATCAACCCGAACCGCTGGCACACCGAGCCGACCGCCTCCACGTTTGTGCGCCGCCGCCGCTGGGTGCGCCGGCGGCGGCGAGCCGACTGCCCCGCCGCGCTCAGGGCGCGGCTGCTCGCGGTCGATGTCGAGGAGAGCGGCGCCTCTGTCCGGATTCGCATTTCGGACGGCTCCGCGCGCGCGCCGCAGTACGTGCTGGAGAACGCGTCCGCCGCGAGCTTGCTCGTCTCGCAAAAAGGGCAGCCGGCGGCGCCCGCGGTGCTGTTGCCGCCGGGCGCGTGCAAGGCGTTCGTGTGGCCGGCCGTGTCGAGGGAGCACTGCCTGCTCGTCGCGCTCGAGAGCGGCGAGCCGACCGCCGTCAAGTTCGACGAGGTTGGCTTCGAGGCGACGATGGACTGGGGCGGCCTCCCCATCGCGCTCATGGTGGTGGCGCGCGGCAACACGCGGACGCTGATCGCGGCGCCGAAGCTCGACGTGCCGGCGGCGCCGACGGCGAGCACCCTCCTCTTCCACGTGCACATGGCTGGCATCGGCGTCTCGCTCGTGCGCTCGGGCGTCGAGGAGCTCGCGTACCTCAGCCTGGCGCGGATCGGCATGGTCTTCGACGCGTCGGCCGCGGCGCACAAGTTCGGACTCACCGTCGGCGACCTGCGGCTCGACAACCAGACGCGCGCCGCAACGCTGCCCGCGGTCCTCATCCGCTCGTCTTACGTCATCCGCCAGCGCAACCTCATCGAGGAGACCACGAGCGCGGCGCAGAAGCGCGTGCCCTGCCTGACGCTGGCCGTCGACCGAAATGTCCTCGAGTACGGCGTCGCCAACGCCGGCCAGTCATTCCGCCAGCTCGTGCTCGCGGTCGACGAGTTCGACGCGCAGGTGGAGGAGTCGTTCGTGCGCGCGCTCGCTGGCTTTGCCGCGACGCTGCACACGCCCCGTGCCGGCGCGGCGCAAGCCAGCGCGCAGCCGGCGGCGGCGGCGCCGCCGCCGCCGCTGACGCCGCGGATGGACGAGAAGAGGCGGGCGAGGACGTTGCGCTCCTCTCGACGAAAGAGCGCCGAAGGGCGGCACACGTCGCGCTTTAGCGCGGCCTCAGCCTTCAAGGACGTGCCGCGTATGTCGATGGATCTCGCGACGGGCGCGTCCGGGATGCGGCTGGCCGGCGACGACCACTCCGAGCTCACGCTGAGGCGTGCCGTCTCCAGTGTCAGCGCTGCTTCGATCGACTCGGCCCGCAGCTCAAGAAGGCGCTCCACTGAGGCCTTCCCGGCCCCCGCGACGCTCCACGAACCCTTCGCTCCGCCGGCTGCACCCGGAGCCGGCCGGTCCCCTCCCGGCGGCGACGCCCTGCCGCCGTTGACGCCGTCCGCCAAGGGCGGCGGCGGCAGCGGCGGCGGAGGCGGAGGTGGTGCGGCCGGTGACAAGCCGCCCTTGGCGGAGGAGAAGTGGCACTTCCACGAGCTGCAGATTGCGCCGCTGAGGCTCAACGTGAGCTACACGCAGAGCCGCGACGCGGACGGCGAGCAGCCCCGCGGCGCGCTCGAGCGGACGGCGATCCCCAACCTCGACCGCACCCCTCTCGTGCTCGAGCGGGTCGTGCTGCGCGACACGTTCACCACGCCGCGCCAGCTGGCGCACGCGATCCTCGCCAACTACCAGGCGGCGCTGCGCCGCCAGATCTACCGGCTCGTGCTCAACATCGAGGTCTTCGGCAACCCCATCGGGCTCGTCAAGGGCCTCGGCGCTGGCATGCGCGACTTGGTCATGCTCCCCGCGCGAGGACTGCTCGAGTCGCCAGAGGACTTTGGGCGCGGCATCGTCAACGGCTCGTGGGCCTTCATGCGAGGCGTGGTCGGCGCGCCCTCGCGCACGGTGTCGCAGGTGACGGGCTCGCTCTCGCGCCGCGTCACCGCCCTCTCGATGGACGGCGCCTACATCTCGGACCGCGCCGCGAGGGAGCGCGCGCGGCGCGACGTGCGCGGGCAGGGGCCGAGGCACGCCGTGGACGGGCTGCGGTACGGCGCCGAGGGGCTGGGGCGCGGCGTGGTGGAGGGCGTGGCGGGGCTGCTCTCGCAGCCGATCGAGGGGGCGCAGACGCAGGGGCTGCGCGGCTTCGTGAAGGGCGCGGGCAAGGGGCTCGTCGGCCTCGCGCTCAAGCCGGCGGCGGGGATGCTCGACCTGGCGTCGCGCACGATGGAGGGCTTCGCAAACACGTTCGAGTACGTGGAGGACGCGCGCGGCGCGACGCACGAGCGGGCGTCGGACCCGCACGAGAGGATGCGGCTGCCGCGCATGCTGTACGGGCAGGAGGGGGCGATCTACCCCTACAGCAACGACGCGGCCGTCGCGCGCATCGTGCTGCAGTCGCTGCGCGCGGGCGTCTACCTGCGAGAGCCTCTGCTGCTCTGCAAGATGCTCTCTGAGGGGGAGGTGGTGCTGCTCACCGCCAACAGGTTGCTGCTCGCCGCGACGAAGGACCACCGCTGCCACCGCCACTACCCCCTCCACGTCATCTCTTCGGTCGCCCGCGGCAGCAACGAGCGCACGGTACTGCTCTCGCTTCGGCCGGCGAGCAACGTGCGCAGGTCGCCGGCGGCGGCCGACTCGCAGGCGGAGCCGGGAGGCGCCACCCCGCGGCGCGTCTCCATCGTGACGCAGCGCCGCTCCTCGGTCCGCGCCGACGCGCCGGCGTCGCCGGCGTCGCCGCGCTCGCCGCGCTCGCCGCGCTCGCCGCGGCTGCGCACCGTGGCGTCTTCGATGCCGCCCTCCGAGCCCCTCCGCCGGACGTCGACCGGCGGCAGCGGCGTGTTTGGCGGCGGCGGCGGCGGCGGCGGCGAGGGAGACGACATGGGCTCTGGCGCCGAGCTGTCGACGCCGAGGGGGACCCGCCTCCCGCGCCCCTTCGCGCGGGTTAGCAGCGCGCTGCGGCGAAAGCCCACGCAGATGGTGCACGAGATCGTGTGCAGCAGCGCGTCGGACGCCGGACTCGTGCACCACCTCGTCACGCTCGCCGTCGGCGCGGTGGAGCGCGGTCAACCGATGGCGCAGCCGAAGCGTCGGATGCCGGGCAGCGCCTCCCTGCCTTCGGCAAGCGGCAGCAGGACGGAGGCGGAGGAGGACGGCTCCCTCGCAGCGGTCTCCCTCACAGCGGTCTCGCTGCCGGCGCGCGCGCGGAGAGAGGAGGACGCCCTCTCACCGATGAGCTGCCCGAGCTCGCCGGAGAGGCCCTTCATGCGGACTCTAGCCACGACGAAGAGCTGCCCAAGCTCGCCAGACAGGGACGCGCGAGCGGTGCTTCAGGCGGACGGGCGCCGTCGCGCATCCGTCCGCTGGCAGAGCGTCCCTGATCTGCCTCCATTGCCGGCGAGCGGGTCTGAGGTCGAGACCTCGAATGAGGCGTCGCAGAAGCTCCGGGCGCTGTCGGACGAGCAGGAATCCGAATGACCCCCCCCCCCCCTCTGGACAAGTCAAGCTTAGCTCCGTAATGTATTCCCGGGACTGTCGCTCACAGTCCCGGCTCCCGCCAGGGGGACACTCTGTCGCAGGTCTTGACTCCGAGTCGCCTTTTTTCCTACGTTGTGTGTGTGTGTGCATGAGAGAGGTTTATACGTACGTTTACGTACCGGAACCGGGAGGCTCCAGTGATATGTCCAAAAAACCATGTTTCACACATACGGCGATCCTTGGTCGATCTCGAGGAGCTCAAATCGAGGGGTCCCGTACCATGCGGAATCGACCCTATCCAGTGCTCTCAAGGAGCTCAAACTTCAGCTTCCTCCGAACGGCAACCCGGTTCCCAACCCGCGCGGTGTTGCTGTTGGAGTGCGTGCGTCCCCAATCCTAGCTCCGCCCTCGCTGTCTTTCGCAGAATGCCGGCCGTTCCCTCGACGCCCTGCGACTGGCACGGGTGTCCCATCGGCGCTGCTGCGTCCTCGACCGGCCGCGTCAAATACGCCGACTTCCGCTGCCCTCTCCCCGAGACGATGCGCCGCGTGAGAGACTACTACCAGGTCCACACCATGTATTTTCACAGGGTTGTAGACTGCCTCTTGCCCCTGCTGCCGCTACTGCACCACATCGTCGAGCAGCAAAAGCGCGGGCGGAGGCCGATCGCGCTTGCTCAGGCCGATAGCGTTGCCCCCTTGCTGAGGGCTCTCGAGCCTTCTCTGCGCATCCACGAAGTGGGCATGCCCCGAGGAAAGTACCGCTATCCGCTCGACGCGCACAACGCGACTCTGCTCCAGCAGCCCTCCTGCTGCTTAAAGTCGCCAACCGGGCGGGAGCTGCTCCAGCGCTTCACCAGCCGCTGGTTTGGAGGTCACGCGCAGCCTCCCTCGAGTCGGCCGCGGCTCACCATCATCATTCAGCGGTCTACCGCGCTTTCTCGCGGCTTCGAGGCGGGCAGTCTCGACCGGCTCGTCGCGGCGATGCGAGCGGCACGGCCTCTGACGCGCATCTACTCCGGCGCCGAGCCACTCGCGGAAGTGCTGAAGCTCTTTGCCGACGCCGAGTCGGTTGTAGGCTACCACGGGGCCGCCTTTGCCAACATGGCCTTCTCTCGCTTAGCCTGCGCGCATGAAGTCACGACGATGGCCTGTTTGAGGACCGATGCCTCCGACCTGAGCACCCGGATGTTTCGCACCGCCGAGCAGGCCTACTTCGGCTCCTGGGTCGAGCGGTTCAAAGCCGGGGTCGTCAAGTACAATGCGCACGCTTTGCCGCTCGCGCAACTGCTCGAGAACCCTGCGAACGATCCGATCAACGCGCGATGGTGGAAGGGGGCCGGCGACTGGAGGCGGGTACCAGCAGACAAGCCCTTCATCGGGCAGCTTGGCTACTCCAATATCACGCTGACTTCGCGCCAAGTGGAGGCGCTGGTTGAGGGCGTGCTCGCATGCACCGCGTCGTGGGGGGTGACATCGGGCCGGCGCACCGCCGCCTCCACCCATACGCGCAGCCTCCTGCTCGATTCTCGGGTGACGGCACCATCCGTGCTACACTGCGCGTACAACTGCACTTGCAACCAGCCACCCACGTGGCGCGCAAACGACACCTTTCGCGACCTTTGGTGCAGGGTCGGGAAATGCCTCGTGGTCTGCTAGTCTGCTAGGACGGAGGTATCTCAAGCGGCGTGAGCCTCATGACTGGCAACGGTCATTTCCGGAGACGCCTCTGAAATCGGTAAAGATGTCACGCTGTCGGTCTCCTTGCCCAGTTGGTCTTTCGCTGTTTTGGTTGGAGTCAACAGTCGAATTCATGGGGCGACACAAACTCGTGTCGGCGCGCGCGCCCCAGGAAGGATGCAAACTGGTAATGAATTGGCAAACATCGGACATGCCAACCTCCGACCGATGCGTCTGGTATAGCCCCAGCCTATACTCCGCGTGAACTCTCGAGGATCTCGAGTTGCGGTCGTGCGGCTGCGGCTATAGCGGACAGGCCAAACTCGACCTCGGCTTACAACGTTTCCCTGCAGCTCGACGAACCAATATGCTGCGGCAACACTCCCCTGGCATCCGCCACGCGCGCCCATCTGGCCACACGCCCGGTGCCACGCACACGCCCCCTGCCCAGCTCCCAGCTCAGCGTGACCGTTCCGAGGCCCTAGTGCTCCCCGTCCTCTCCGGCTCCGCCGAGAGCAGAGCCCAACACCGTGAGTGGCATGCCTACTTTGAGGCGGTCTATGAGCCACCCGGTGGACACGACGGTCGACTTGAACCAGTTTGAGTGGTTCGACTCCTCGGCTCCCCTCCACCTGCACTCTGTGCAAGAGAGAGGGCGGGGTGGTAAAATTCTTTCTTGTCTGTGCTAGTGCCAGTGCGCCGCACTCAAAATTCTTTTTGTGCCGCTGCCCGAAAGGCGCACAGGCGACATATCAAGGACTGAGTCGAAAGCCGCAACACGTAAGTACCTCTTGTGTATATGGCACGCGAGACTCCCTCGTTCCGCGTCCCGGGCGCTGGGCACTGGAAGCTCGTCGCTGAGCGCGAGCCCGCCGCCCGTCCCTCGCCGTTCGGCGGCGAAACCTCGATCTCGTGGGCGCCGGCTCTCCCTGGCCCGCACAGCATCGGCGAGGCGCCGAGCGACGCCGGCTTTATGCTGTACCACGTCGGCGACACGCTCTGCTTCTTTGACCAGCGAGGCGCCAAGGCGGACTCGACGGACACGCTCCAGCTGCGAGACCGCGTCCTGTGCCACGACCTCCACTGGAGCTGCCCGCCTCCGGGCGCGGGCGCTGGCTCGAGCTCTGCCAACGGCGGCGGCGGCGGCGGGTTCGGCGGCGCATCCCTCGAGGCGCTGGTCGGCCTCTCCTCCGGCGAGGTTGTGCTCTGGCGCCCGTTCTCGCGCCGTGAGACCTCGCGTGGCCTCTCGTCGGCTGTCGCCGGAGGTGCGTGCACGCGTGACAGCAGTGCGAGCGCCTGCCCAGCGGTGCCGAGCAGCTCCGCCCTCACTCCCTGCGAAGCGCCACCGCGGTCGCGCCTGCCTGTCCAGCCGCGTGCCACATGCCCCATGCCCCAGGAGGCGAGGGCGCCGTCGCCGACGCTCGCTGGCGGCCTTCTCCCGAGGCGGAGTCGGGCGTCTGCTTTGGCCTGGCGGGGGTAGATGCGGGAGGACACGCGCGTGAAGGAGAGAGAGGAGACGGCTTGCTCCACCTACTCGCACCCCTTTTGGAGCCCGGAGCTGATCCACGCACTCGGCACGGCGCCCTCTCTGTTTGATCCGCGGCCTGCCTTGACGCCGGCGTCGCGGCGGCAGGACTGGCGTGCGCGGGTGGGCGCGTGGCGCTGTACGTCCGGCGCGGGTCCGAGGAGGCGGCCGGAGGGGGCAGCACCCCTGCCCCCTCCCCTAAGCGGCATGGCCGTGTCGCCAGCATGGGCGCACCCGCCCGCCAGCCACGACACCGAGGCGGAAGGGGGGGAGTCACTACGGAGAGGTGACTGGAACCACATGACTGGACCCACAGGAGCTTCGATCCGCTGGCGCGACTCCACGGCCTCCTCGTCTCAGCCTCGCTTCGACCAGCGAGGCGAGCTGAGCCCGAGAGGAGCCCGAGAGGAGGCCCGAGAGGAGCCCGAGAGGAGCCCGAGAGGAGCCCGAGAGGAGCCCGAGAGGAGCCCGAGCACTGTCCGAGCGATGTCCGAGCGATGTCCGAGCGATGTCCGAGCGATGTCCGGGCTCAGGCATGCTGCGCGCGAGCGAGAGCGGCGCCGCCGTCACCGCCATCGCCTTCAGTCCGGACGGGTCGAGGCTGGCGGCGGCGACGGCCGACGGCATGCTTGTGCTCTGGTCCGTCGGCGGCGACTGCAGCGGTCGGCCGGCGGCAGAGGGTGAGGGCAGTAGCGGCGAGGGCGAGCCGCAGCTGCTGGCTCGCCTCGCCTCGTACTTCGGCGGCTTGCTCTGCGTCGCTTGGGCGAGGGACGGCGCGTACCTGCTCGCGGGCGGCGAGGAAGAGATGTAGCAGAGAGGCTGCAGAGAGGCTGCAATGCTGCAGAGATGCAGAGATGCTGCAGAGATGCAGCAGACGATGCTGCAGAGATGCAGCAGACGATGCAGCAGACGATGCAGCAGACAATGCAGCAGACGATGCAGCAGAGATGTTCCCCGCGCGACCCCGTCTCCCATTCAGTAATGAGTCGGTAATTGATGGCGACTGCCTGCAGGACGACCTCGTGTCCGTCGTCTCTTTCGAGCGGAGAGCGGTGGTCGCGCGTGCGCAGGGACACAGCTCCTGGGTGTGTGCACTCTACCCTCCCCCTCCCCCTCCCA